GCAGCAGCAGCAGGCGGGGTTGCAGCTGGGGAGGAGAGGAGGGTGTGGGGTGTTCTAGGTCTGAGGGGGGAGTGGGAGGAGACGATCCCCAGAAAGAGGAGACAGTAAACCCCCTAAACTTAATGCCGTTTATAAACAACGAGGAGACAGATGGACTCTCTACACATAGAGAGGTCTCCTCTATACCGAAGACAGGCGAAAATAAATGTTAGATATTATGCTGCTGCTGCTGCTGCTGCTGCTGTTGCTGCTGCTGCTGCTGGTGCTGCTGGTGGTGCTGCTGCTGCTGTTGGTGCTGCTGATGGAGATACTGCTTCTGTTTGTGCTGCTGCTGCTGCTGCTGCTGCTGCTGGTGGCGGTGGTGCTGCTGCTGCTGCTTGTGCTGCTGCTTGTGTTGCTGCTGCTTCTGCTGCTTCCTTTGCTGCTGCATGTGTTGCTGCTGCTGCTGCTGCTGCTGCAGCACCATAACAATAATACATTGCTCATCCTCTCCTGCATCCGCTGCTGCTGCTGCTGCTCCCGCTGCTGCTTCTGCTGCTGCTGCTTCTCCTCCTGCTCCCGCTTCTGCTGCTGCTGCTGCTGCTGCTGTTGCTGCTGCTGCAGCATGGGTATACCCATCAAGCTCTCAGTTTTATCGTGCTCTGCAGCGACGAGGCAAAGCAGCAGAAAAGGAGACAGTTGGAGACGTTGTGTTTATACATAACTTTGTTAACGAAGAAACCTGGAAAAAAATTACACATATTGAACAAAAACACACGTAAACCCTAAACCCTAAACCCTAAACCCTAAACCCTAAACAATAGATTATAAACAATAGATGATAGATAATAAATAATAAATAGTAAATAATAAATAATAAATAATAAATAATAAATGATAGATAGGAGAAAGGAGAAAGGAGAAAGCAGACAGGGGAAAGGAGACAGGAGACAGGAGGAGAAGAAAGGAGACACGCTTATAAGAATATTTTTTGAGGGTTTAGGGTTTAGGGTTTAGGGTTTAGGGTTGAGGGTTTAGGGTTTAGGGTGTGATAGATGTAGAAGAAACCCTAAACCCTAAACCCTCACCGATGTGTTTATCTCTGTTTCTCACAAACCCTAAACCCTACCCATCACCCCCAAACCCTAAACCCTAAACCCTAAACCCTAAACCCTAAACCCTAAACCCTAATTTGTGTGTTAAAATATATTTATAGGGAATGTAAAGAGGTGACCCTGACGAGGTTTTGTGGCCGCTCAGAAGACAAGACGATGACGGCGAGACTGATGGAAACCCTCGGCCTGTAAACCCTAAACCCTAAACCCTAAACCCTAAACCCTAAACCCTAAACCCTTGGTTGGCCTGGAACTATAAACCCTAGACACTCCTACGAGCTGTTGATGCTAAACCCTAAACCCTAAACCCTTCGGCAACAGAAAACCCTCTTTCTTCCTTCACACAACCCCAAACCCTAAACCCTAAACCCTAAACCCTGATGAAGAAGCTGTTGCTGTTTGTCTCCTCTGTCTCCTTTTCTGTCTCCTTTTCTGTCTCCTTTTTCTCTTTTTTTTGTCTCCTTTCTGTCTCCTTTCTGTCTCCTTTCTGTCTCATTTCTGTCTCCTTTTGTCTCCTTTCTCTCTCTATTCTCTCTCTATTCTCTCTCTATTCTGTCTCCTTTCCGTCTCCTTTATTGTCTCCTTTCTGTCTCCTTTTTGTTTTTTTTTTTGTTTTTAGTTGGGGTTCTGTGTTTGATCGTCACGATTGGTACATAGATAGATTTTTCTTTTTGTCTCCTTTTTGTCTCCTTTTTGTCTCCTTTTTTTTTCTTTCTTTCTGTCTCCTCTCTGTCTCTATTCTCTCTCTATTCCCTGTCTATTCTGTCTCCTTTCTGTCTCCTTTTTGTTTTTTTTTTTTTGTTTTTAGTTGGGGTTCTGTGTTTGATCGTCACGATTGGTACATAGATAGATGCGGCAAAGAGGTTCGTTATATTATCGATTACTACGACGACCCCAAAGCTAACAACCTAGCTGAAGTAAGCAGCAGCAGCAGCAGCAGCAGCAGCAGCAGCAGCAGCAGCAGCAGCAGCAGCAGCAGCAGCAGCAGTAGCAGCAGCAGTAGCAGCAGCAGCAGTAGCAGCAGCAGCAGCAGCAGCAGCAGCAGTAACAGCAGCAGCAGCAGGAGCAGCAGTAGTAGCAGTAGTAACAGTAGACAGTGATAGGAGTAGCAGCAGCAGCAACAGCAGCAGCAGCAGCAACAGCAGCAGCAGCAAAAACAGCAGGAGCAGCAACAGCAGGAGTAGCAGTAGCAGCAGCAGCAGCAGCAGCAGCAGCAGGGGTCTCGCTCTCTCACAGTTGCTGCACCCATAACAAAAAAAATAAAAAAAATAAAAAAAATTATTTTTATTATTATTATGTAGTTGTTGTTCTTGCTTTTGTTTTTGTTCTTATTATTATAAAATAATTATTCTCTCCTGCTGCTGCTGCTGCTGCTGCTGCTGCTGCTGCTGCTGCTGCTGCATGCATGCATGCATGCATGCATGCACTTCAGGTGTATATTCACGTCCGTCCAGCCCCGTTTGACTCCGTGGGAAATTTCGTTGATTTTCTTCGTCAAACTTTCACTGCTATTTGGAGAAGAGAAAGGCCATAG